ATCAGCGCCATGAAAAGGCCTGGATAACATAAAAATATGGTAGTCGAAAATCTACCTGGACGCTGACTTTGATGCAAAGAAATCAGCAAGTGTCAACTTACAAGTCGTCAAGTAGCGCGCATCGCGTGCAATATGCATGCGTAACAAAAAATCACTCGACAAAAACTTGCAGGTGGAACATTGGGCTACTCCGAGCAAAAATCAAAATACCTGGGTAAGAGGACGGTAGCGTCGACGCCAGTTCCTAACAACTACAACATCCGCAATTGCCGACACCGATTCTCTCGAAGCATATATTGACTAAATCATTTGCTCTCTTTTGAACGTAAAAAACGAAAATTGAAGACTGAACTATGAATTTATGTGAAATCAAAATCAGATGGAAAGTGAACTCACTTCCGTAGAATCACTGTTGTAAATGTTGGGCTTTCTCGTGGCACGGAAGACATAAAGTATCGCCCATACTGGCATGAGGAAAGAGACAATGTCATAAGGAAACTTCAGCAAAGAATAGCGAAGTTGATCGTGCTTCTGAAAAATATTTTTAGCTGCTTTGGTAAAGTGGATAGGAGTGTAAAAAAAACTCACAAAAACACCACTGCAACCTTTTAGATTGTCAGCAAGGTAGAATAAACTCAGATGATAGCCTAGATCTGCTAATGCGGACGTCTCAAATGTCCAAAACAGACTGTAACAGGTGGATCAACTAGGATCAAAATAAGTGGTAAAAAAACGAACCTGAATAACTGGCGCCGCTGACTATCGCGTATATTAGGCGCGGCAGATATTCTGTTCATACGATGTAGAATCAGGAAAAATGATCCAACCATAAGTTGTACCATAACAAATTCTCCAGTGGAGAACCATAACCAATATGGAGCTGGAAAAGGGAGGAACTAAGTAAAATTGGCAAAACAGCATAAAAACAGCGACAATCCTCCCATACTCACCATGACTAAGTGGAAAATGGAAAATATGCAAGTTATGATGCTCAAGCTCATCTTTTTTTGTGAAAGCTGAGATTTACGTAAGAAATGATTATGAGTCAAAACTATTTAAGATTTCTGGACCTTATAAGAGCACCTGCAAAAAAATTGCGGTAGTTCGGATCCCTTGACATTTTGGCTAAAGGCTAAGTCGATATAAAATATAGTTTTTTGGAACGAGCAATTTTTGCACGGTATATGGTAACCACTGTCTTTTCAAAACCCACAAACTTCTTCATGATGAAAAGTGATGACTAGTCTTGCTATCGTATGCTCTACACTATATTCATGCGCGAAAGAAAAAAAAGCATACCATGACAATCTCTCCAAGGCTCTATCGAGAATACGAGACCAACAACCAAAAACATTGTGAAATAAGTAAACATAAGAAATAGCGCCGAAAAGCATAATCTGAAATATTATGAGAATTCAACGCAAATGACGCATGAAAAACCACAGCGTTCGTTACTTACCTCCTTCCTGCTACAGAGCTCCAATGCATCATTTTCGATGCAACATCCAGATAAAAGTAGCATATAATAAGAAGTTCGATCGCTTTAGCATAGCTTATGAATAAGGACAACTGAGTTGTCCAACCCCA